ATTATTTCATTATACATTCTTAATGTTAAAGGAAATTTTCAGCCATACTGATGTTAATCTGTGTATTTTCATCAATTTTTCAACTGGTTTTTGCATTCTAGTGATTTTTTTTCTTGCACTATGCTCTTCTCATAGGACAAGATGCTGCTGGGTTATTAGCATGACTTTTTGTGAAGAGGGCTTAATGCAAGAATTATTTTTCTACTTTTCAAAAAGTTAAAAGTTGAAGAGTTTTTTTCCAAGTTTCTTTTTTTMTTTTTCAGTTTTATATCCTAAAAAAAGTCCTTTTAAATAGAAATTATTGGTGATAAAACACCAAGTTTTGTACAAAACATGAAAAGCTTCAAATAGAAATGTTTTTTTTTTCATTTTAAAACAGTTTGGATRAAATCAATAAAAGACTGTGTTAAACTAATTTAACAATAATATACAACATCATGGTTGTTTGTCTCGTTTGTCTCTATGTATGGCTCTGTGATGGTCTTGCGACCTGTCCGGGGTACCCCTCGCACTGTGACTGCTGGATATGGGCACAACATAATAGTGTGGGGGGAAATTGAGACAAAGCAAGCAATTCATTTCTTAAGAAAACAGAGTAACTTTGACTATTTTCGCTTTGTGATTTGAATAAATAGTTTGTGTTTTAGTTTTTTTCCTGCAGTGGATTTTTCATACTTAATGCAAACAGAAACTTTCAGGACAAAAGCTAGTTCATCTGGGGGGAAAATAGCCAAGAATTTCTGTAAATTAACACTAGATGAAACTTTTACTTTTAAACTGGCTCATACTCATAAACAAAAATCACACTTTCATAACAGTACTTGGTCCTTCAGTTGGCAGTTCAGATCATCACATACAGAACACCATGGACTTTGTGGACAAAGTGAGGGATGTCATCATGGAGATAATGGTCTCCTTTGATGTTACATCACTCTTTACGTGCATTCTTGTTGTTAAGGCGGTGGATGTGGTCTGTGTTAGATTAAAATCAGACACCACTCTTAGCAGCAGAACCACTCTTTCCACAGAACAAGTGTGTCAACTTCTGAAACTGTACCTGGAATCAACCTATTTTCACATATGAGGGGCAATACTATAGGCAGAAACATGGGTGCGCTATGGGCTCCCCAGTTTCCCCTATTGTTGCAAACCTGTACATGGAGGAGGTGGAAAAGAGAGCTCTGATGTCCTCTACAGGGACACCACCGAGCCATTGGTTCAGATATGTTGATGACACCTGGGTAAAAATTAAATCCCAGGAAGTCCAACATTTCACTGATCACATCAACTCTGTGGATAAATATATAAAGTTCACATGAGAAGATGTAAAAAATGGCAGGTTGATGTTCTTGGACTGTGATGTCAGTCTCTGATGGAGGACGGTTGGAAACTGACGTATTTTTCAAACCCACCCATACAGACCAGTGTTTGCATTTAGATTCCCATCACCCACTGGAACACAAGTTAGGTGTCATCAGGACTGTGTACCACAGAACAGACAGTGTCTCCACAAACACAGGAGCCAGGGAGAAAGAGAAGTCACACACAAGACAAGCTCTGGAGCAGTGCGGTTATCCTAACCAGGCTTTYCTGAAAGCAGACAAGAAACCCAAACAGGATTCCAGCCAACAACCAGCTGAAAAYGAATACTCCAGACCTAGACTCAGACCAGTGGTCATTCTGTATGTTGGWGTTTCAGAGAAACTGAGATGTTTATTCTTTAAAAATGACGTCCCAATGACTTTCAAACCCCAAAACACATTATGGCAAAGACTGGTTCACCCCAAAGCTCTGGTCCCATAGCACAAACAGAGTAATATAGTAATATATTATATATTTGCTGTTAAGTGTCAGGAGAACTGTGGTCAGTTATACATCAGGGAAGCAAAACAGCCACTGTTCAAAAGAATGAGTCGGCACAGACGAGCAACATCATCAGACCAGGACTCTGCTGTTTAAATACATCTACAGGCCAGGACTCAGTTTACACTCATCTACAGGCCAGCGGTCACTCTTTCAGGGATGAAGATRTTCTCATCCTTGATARAGAGGAATGYTGGTTTGAGAGAGGAGTAAAGGAAGCCATTTTTGTGAAGAAAAWATATCCATCATTAAACAGGGGTGGAGGCCTTCGTGCCCAGTTGTCCTTCTCCTACAACGCCAWYATTGCAAGTATGACTCAGCCCCCTGTGAGCAAAAGGTGTGAATCAGGGCCCCAACGATAGTCAAGTGATGGGGCACATGATCCTCTATGAACAATAGACAATCAACACTAATGATCTATTGTCTGGCTGATGGTCCTCTTTTGCATGTGACAAACCTGTTTGTCCACCATGTAGAGGCAGTGCTTATAAGGCTGAGTTCACATGAAACTCCTCAGACTGAAGAAGTGTCTTGGAGGAGAGACGAAACGTTTCATCAAAGAAGAATCTGTCCAGAGGACCTACTTAATATTTTTTTAAC